CCAAGTGTACTTGTCCAGATCAATGTTGGCCTCCTGTGCCTGAGCCAACAACACCTTAGCCTGAGCCTTCTACACCTACTAGTGTTGTTCCAGGCCCAAAGACTGTAATTCCAACGCCAACTTCAAATTCATCAATACCTATTCCTAAAGGTAATTACTAAGATTTTTGGAGTTAGTGCACGAAGAGTTCTTTAAAATGTCTCTACCCAAAAAACTGACTACATTGTCAGGGAGAAAGGAGAGGGAGAGAGGGAAGAGGATGGGGGAGAGGATTTTGTTTGGAAAGCAGCTATATGAACAGATTATGTCATTGTCCATAAATCTAGAAAACAAAAATCAAAGATAAAAACTTTGCTATGTTGGCGCTTGTCAATCTTCACGAGAAAGATCACATTATTTTCGTGTAACATTTGACGAATATAAGCTTTAGGCACCATTTAAATGATATACCGTCAATTCAGTCAGACTTGGGATGCTCTTAGTGGTACGGAGAATATGTTCATGGTCAGTTACACTATTATTTTTATTTTGTCAGTAAGTCATCGATCTTGTGCTTAATGCAGCAAAGAGAAACCTCAACAATCAACTTAGTCGCAGACACGCCACCACCTCAAAGCCACCATTGGAGTTTTGTGGGAAAGGCCTACGTATTTTCACCGGAATCGAAAAAACTTTTTTTGATTGAATTCGCGCTAGTTGCATTTAAAACCTCAATTGCACATGTGCTCTACCAAATATTAAAACATTTATAAATTTGAGGAAAAGTCTCTACGCCTTCGAAATTTCGATCTGAATTGAATAAAAACGTGTTTTAAATTTCAGATTAAAAGTCGTTTAAGTGGAAACTGTACATCTTAAACCCGAGCCTTGCAGTACTTCTCGTCATCATGATTTGTTGTTGTTGGTGCCTGTGGAGGCATAAAGCTACTGTTAAAGAGGCCCTGAGGTACAGATGCTGCCACTGCTGTGGGAAGTGCCAGAAACCACTCACAGAGGCAGATAGCAACGAAGTTGGAAATAAGGAGGAAGCTAAACTTATCAAAAACAAACCGAAAGATAAGGCTGTTGAACACGAGGATTTTGAAGGAAAAAAGAAACTGGTCGAGCCAGTTCAAGAGGAAGACATGGGAGACAAGACTCAAACTGTTGGAAATGATAACGTTTTATCACTATTCTTGTAAAAAAATCAAACCTCTAGATCAGGTGTGGGGTCGTCATCTTGATCAAAATGTGATCGTACTTATTGGTAATTCGCACATCAAAGTTCCTCCCTCAAAACAAATTGCGCCCGGTATCATATTGAACAGTTTTTGCACGAGTGCGTGTTGGGTGTGAGATGATAGATATCCAACGAGGACCGTAGGTAGGGCCCAGTTGGCTAAAATTATTTCATATCGAAAGGCGCAAGTGGATTAATTTTAATATTAAACACCCTAAAAGATAAATATAGATAAATTTTACCGACTTTATAAATTTCTTTTAGCTTGGTTTTAATCAAAATTTTGAGCTGACGCTTAACTTGCCAAATTTGTCAGTAGAGCATGGTATAGTGGCTTACAACCCATGTGGACTAAGTCAACGAAACATCTTGAATTGCATTGTCAAAGAATGATCCGGTTTTCAGTAAAAGTTTTAAACACACTTTGCCATTCATTACTTGAAAAGGAACTTTAATATTTTTTAAAGGGTGTATGTAATGATGCAACAGCTATCAATAAAATTGTCACCAGTATTATCTTGTGCACTATTTATATTTCCTTTTTCGGTGATATCTGATAATTAAAAATAATTAACAACTTTTCACCGAAGTGATTATTGCTAGTGGTGGATATTTACTGAGCAGTAAGGCGGCACGGTAAATATCCACCGCTAGCCATCGACGACCCTGAAATATATATTTGTTTAATTATATACTAAAACAGTAAGGTTCCATAGCACAAAAATGGTGAATAGTGATGGATAGTAATCCTGAGCAATTAATAACACCACTTGAGGTGAGGTGAAGTAGCTGTTTCACACAGAAACTGAAAAAACAATTTTTTCTTCTGTCAATATATCAATATATCAATTTTGTCTATTCGGCAGCTTGGAGGTCATGTAATGGAGCCGGAAGCAAGTAAAACTAAATCAGAAGCCCTCCTTAGAAATCCCGGCGGGCCATTGGAAGAACCGTCCTTGGAAATATGATTTTTTAATTTGTACTCTTGCATCATGTTGGCACCAGGTTCCTAGTTAATCCAAGTGATTGTTCCGGCACATTACGCTTGAAGATGAGAAACCGCACCAGAGCGCAACGATGTAACAGATGAACGACTGTTAGCAAGGTACTCACGCTTGACAGTTTTGCGCCAAAATATTTTTGTTTTTCAAAGGAACGAAATATTTCAACATGATCGTGCTACTTGCCTGTACTTACAAAATTTAGAATTTCCCCTCACACAAGCCCACTACCGCTTTTTCTCGAAATGTATACAATGACCTTTTTATCACGTTGGCAAATTAAAAGTTTCAGATTACATACATGAAAATTGTTTGGTGATCAAAGCATATTCATTTTTTTTCCTTTCAATTTAAGATCTAATCTGGCAAAAAATTGTAGATTGTCCTAGTCGAACTACATAAGACAACTCTAATTTCGATTTCGTATGTTAGGGGCGAAATGGATCAACTTAGCGAGCTAACTAAAATTGCCCTCTATCGGAGCGGTGTCAATTATTGTTCTCGGAAATACGGAAAGACAATCTTTGTACCGTGACACTCTTCATTTGGAGAAACGAGTAACATATCAACTTATGCTCAACCTGAAAGAAAGCTTTATATATCAAATCGGACAGCACCTCATGCATCGAAAGTTAAACGGAGGTAAGAATGGCTTCATTCTAATTTTCAAGTTCTCCTATCATTCATGATCACGATTTTTGAAAATACGTGTTTGTACCTGCGTTAATGGGACCATTCACCTCTCATTTCATTGAGTGGCGAAGAGGCGAAGTATGTAAAGATGCATAAATACAATAGGGGCGTAGATACTTGTGATATTACTTTTGGTTTCACAGCGTGAAAATATCTGTCGTAGAGTACTGAAGGCAAGGGCCACTGAGATGCAAGAATTTTGATTCATTTTGATCTTAAAGAATCCCGGAAGGCTTTTGTGCTGGAGGCGATCGATTTCAGAGCTCGGAGACGAATAATGCAAAGTTTTGACGGTGATTGCAGCCACGGCATCGCTGAACCGTTAAAATGGATACTTGCTCCATTGCCTCCTAAACGACATCAGTGGAGTTTACTAAGAGCGAATTGACGTATGCGGATGCTATCAGAAATAAGACAGTATGCTGCATCTTCTCTGCACTTCAATTCGTTCATCCGATTGTTTTGCCCTTTTCATTTGCCTGTTCAGAAAGTGGGTGTCTTAAAGTAACTATGTAGTCTCTTAAAAATGTCGGTACTCCCCTTTTCCTCCTTCATGTACATCTTGCCTATGTATTGTATATGTTTTAGCGTGAAAATCGCCGTCGTGCTTTCATGCATAAGTCAGTGACAGTTCATATAATTGTTGCTGTGGCTGTAGGAAAGTTTTGTTCTGAAGTAACATTTCATAATAAGTTATGTTTTGGCTAAAATCTTGTAAAGATTTAGGATTTTAGATTTTGATGCTTTCATACACTGTAATGTGGTAAAGCTATTGAAATTATTTTCATACTGCTGTTTCTAGGTACTCAGGACAAAATGACCTTTTCTTCCTTGGTATCTACATCAGTGATACTGTATGTTATCATTTCATATATGTCCGGAATATGTTTTGCGTATCGCTGGAAGGCTTCACCAGACAACTGTACATGTATCCGCACTGGCCTTTCAACTTACAGCTTGTTTTCTCTTCGAGGACAAAGGTAATTCATTAATTAAATAAACATATAAGTAAGACTTGTCATTAACTTAAGATAACCACAGGAAAACTTAACAAATTCGTTTTTCCTTCCTTTCTTCAATATTTATCCCAGGTTAGTTCAAAGAAATCTACATACCACCTAAAAATAGTAAAGAGGTTCTTCGTGTTGGGTGGTGAGAGATTAAGAAGGCTTAATCGTCTGACAATAAATATAAGTAAGGGCTAAATACAAAATCACCATACTTCTACATTTATCAATGATTAAGAAACAGTTTTACGGTATATCTTCACCGCATCCGGCTGTCGCACCTCAGTTAAATACCTGAGGATTGCAAATTGCCCGGCGATAATTGTTCACCAGTATGGTGGGAGGAAGTATAAAGATGTCACGAAAACATTTCGAGGAGGGATGCTAATAGCTACTGCTTGGACAAAATTTGGATCTCTATCAATCAACGTCTATCAAGGACCTAACTTATGTTTTCTAAAGCTATAAATACTTAATAAATTTACTTTACGAAACGTAGCTTAACATTCATTTTGATTGTCATGCCCCAGTACTTAAAGGAGAACCGCTCCAATAAACAGATCTAGATAGATCGCATTTATCTCAATAAATTGGAATCATTTTGGGACCTAACAACATGATGGTTTTGTATACACTCAATAATAGGCTATGCCTTAAATGGTGTTATTTGCTTTGCTTTTAAATAGAATTTATGGGTCAGGATCTCGCCAACACCCAAGTTACACCTACACCTTCATGCCTTGTGTGCCCGACAATTTGCATTCCCGTGTGGGAAATTGCACAAACGTGGCAGTAAGTAGTTCGTTATTTGTGGCTTCAAATTGTTGTCCTTTCATTCACAACACTTAGAAAATATCGGGACCCTAACGATC